ATATATATATATATATATATATATATATATATATATATATATATATATATATATATATATATATATATATATACAGATAAAAATATATATAGACAATATATGTAAACAACTAAGAAAAACTACGTAAGTTGCACTTGCACGGGCTAAGAAGGAACGTTTATGTCTTTCCGTTCGCGATAATGTGTTTTTGCTACTAATTGTCCGTAAATCATAGGGATTATTTGATTTAAAGAGTCTTGTATGTAAAGGATGGGAAGCGTCATTCATAATCTTCCGCGCTTCACGTTTCAGGAGTTCTTCTCTTCGATCAGAGAGACTTTGTAGACAGTCATTGTTAACCTAGAACTCGGAGGCAGCAGGTCTGAGTTCGTTCAATTTCATTAATCAGATAGGTTGGAAGGCCACCCCAAACAGGGGAGGCATATTCAAGGATAGATCTAATATTCGATTTATAAAGGGTAATACCTACTTCCACAGGTAGATTGGCTTTCCTGCATTCTCTTAAGATATATACTTGACGGTTAGCCGTATAATAGTTTCAACATGATTGTTCCATTTGAGGTTGTTTTGAAGCCCCATTCCAAGTAGTTTAAATTTGTCCGCTCTTTCAACTAGTTCATCACCGATATAAACAGGAGGAGGTTCCAATACTGATTCCGTGAAGCATATCCACATGTCCATATCCTTCGTTTTTTTGACGTTGATTTGGCAGAAATCAAACAATCAACAACAACGGGGTAAAGCATGTGGCAACTGTGGACGATCTCATGCACCCAAAACCTGTCCAGCGTACGGCAAACCTTGTAATCACTGTCATAAGTTAGGACACTATGCCTAGTTTTGTCGCTCGAAGACAAAACAAAACAAACCAGTGAATGATATCGAAGTCAAGACAGCGACGTATCTGATTGATACGGTTCAAAGCCCCACTATGCAAGAGAATGAACACGCCGCACTGAAAATTAACAATACGTCAGTGCGACTAAAGCTCGATTCTGGAGCGGAAACGAACATTCTCACTCATCATGATTTTCTGAAAGTTATACCAAAACGTCAGCGAAATACCAAACTCAAACCCAGTACTGCAAAATTGACTGCGTTTTGGTGGACATAACATTCCTGTGCTAGGAAAATGTTATCTTCGCTGTCAATACAAAAACGTAACACAGATTCTCGAGTTCCATGTTGTCGAAAGCGGTACATCTCTTTTGGGTTCTACCAATTGCAAGAGCATGAAACTTGTATCATTCCACAACGTGAATCAACTCAACAACGAAGCATCGGGTCCCGGGACGGCAAAAAGCGCACTCACGGGGCTAACGAGTGAACAAATATTTGAGAAATATGCCCCTTGTTTTGAAGGTATTGGCAGAATATCCGAGCCATATCACATCAAGATTGATGACAGCGTCACACCGGTAGTTCACCCGCCTCGTAATCTTCCGGCAACACTACGGGATCGAGTTCAAGCAGAACTTTTCGATATGGAGAGCAAAGGCATTATAAAAGCAGTTAATGAGCCAACCGCGTGGGTAAACTCGATGGTCGTCAATGAGAAACGGTCCGGACGACTCCGAATTTGCATCGATCCTCGCGATCTAAACAAGGCGATTCGCAGAGAACATTATCAATTACTTACACAGCAGGAAATCACTAGTCGCTTGACAGGTGCGAAATTCTTTAGTAAACTCGATGCAACGTCTGGATTTTGGCAAATGCCGCTCGATGACGAAAGCTCGAACCTCACGACGTTCAACACACCATTCGGGCGTTATCGCTTTACTGTTGTTCCCTTTGGCATGGTCTTCGCGCAAGAAGTTTTCCACAAAACGGTCCACGAGAAATTCAACGATATTCTTGGCTGTGAAACTGACATCGACGACATTCTCATTTGGGGACGCACAATCGACGAACACGACTTACGTCTCGAACAGGTTCTAAATCGCGTCCAAGAAATAAACATGACTTTGAGTCAAGAGAAATGCCAGTTTCGTCAAACGGAAGTTACCTATCTCGGTGAGAGACTAACTCAAGAAGGCGTTAAGCCGGATGGCGCCAAACTTAAAGCGATAAGAGATTACGTCAAGCCCACCAACAAACAGGATGTTCAGAGACTTCTGGGCATGGTTATAATAATAATAATAATCTGTTTAATTAATCACATTGCAGTCTCTACTGAATTACATGATTATAAGTAAATACATTAAAAATTAAATTTACAGATAAAATTGAGTTCAAACCGTTCAATGTTCGTTCTAAATAGTCAGTTTAAATCTGTCCACAAATTATAATTGGGT